GGGGGGGGGGGGGGGGGCGACTAACGGAGCAGGACGCCGCGGCTGAGTGGCCGGACCGATAGACCACGGCAGCCGGGTTGCCAGCCGGCCGTCCGCTTTCAATTAGAAAACTGATCGGAAAAGGTGAATAATCCGTGAAAACTGGCAACGCCGCCCGGGAACGAGACGACTTCGGCTACCGTATGACTCATTGTTGAACTGCCGCGAAACACCCCTCCCCCGCCACGTCATCGGCCCCCGGGAACTGCATCATCGCCGCACCGGGTACCGTTCCGCGAAGTTGGCATCACCGAGGTTCCCTCCGTCAAAACCCGTGATAAGTATCGATTCGATCGAATCGAGCGTTTCGCTCACACTTGAAAGGAGGGGAAGCAGTGTGTCCAACTTTGTTGAATCGCTGCGGCAGGCGGATTATTGATATTGATAGACAAAACTAGAGACAAAGAAGACGGCTGGATAAATGGAGCGATCCTGTTAGTTGAAACGGGTGGTTGTTATAGACCGAGTGGGGTAATGGTGGACCAACAGCAGGGACAGGGTCTCTCGTGGGCAGTGTTTGAAATACACGCCGGCCAAACAGCAATTTGCCGGTGAGAAACCGCCTTGGCCGCTAAGAAATGTAACTAGCGGGCCAAGGCTTGGCTGCTACGAAAATCGTTGTCAAACTCCGTTTTGGGATTTTTCGGCGTTAACTCGAAAAGTTTGAGGTTAGGTTTGATCAGGTCATGTAGATCTTGGGGCCCAAAAGGGAGCTTTGAACTCGAATTATCCGGTGGTACTAATTTTCACATTTCAACTATTTAAACTGATCAAAAATTATTAAAGCACGTATAAAACTTTGATTTCGCTTATATTTACTCAGTTTCAAAGTCTTAATCCTTAAGATGCTTGTTTGTAATGCGGTATCGGCCATATTGAGTGATCTTCCAAATGTACAGGTTGGCAGTGGCACTTTACCAGTGATTTTCGTTTTTCACGTTGTCGCCCTTTTAAGCCCTAAGAGCTACATAAATCGAGTTGTCCATACTTTCTCTATAAAGGAACTCTATTTCGAAAGGGCAATTTTTCATTTTGGCCCCCACGGTATCTGAGATTGCCGTTAAGAAAAAAAGTTTCAGCCAGATGGCTGCTAAAACTTCATGCCGAGTTTCAAACATTGCTCGTGGGTTGCCGTTAGGTAGTATTACCTTCTTTGTCCCTTGCATCTACCTGCTTCCACCAACAGCATTACTCCATTTTCCATTTTTTGTTTGTCTATAGCTTTGTCTATCATTCCAATAATAGCCCGTAAATATTGACGCAGTTGGCGAGAGCCATCGAGGCCATCGGAGTTCAAGGCCCGTTATGACCTCTTGGCGTCGCAGTAAGGCAAAAGTTGCATTTTCTGTACCCGCATAGGACCTTTTTCTTCGTGGGAAAAAGGGGAGAAGCTCTGTATTTCCACTGGACACTACAGGTTAGGTTATTGGCACAAAACTGCGGGATGAGCACCGCGGAGCAGCGATACTGCAACGACGCCCCCTTCAGGGTCGCTTACTGCAGCGAGCGCGACAACAGGAACAAACAATCCAACACAAACACAAAATGCAGACTCGGCTCGAAATCGTGGCGCTTAAAATGAAGGTGAAGGGTCCGAAAGCCTTACGTGACCGCTTGTCGCGTTTTTTCGACCTTGGAAGACTGGAAACTTTACTCTCAACTTCATTTCAATGTATAGTCTGTCCGAGATGGGAAGAACCGTGGAAAGTCGGAATAATTAGCACTATTTTGCAGGGTGGGGGTGTCTCGACCCTCGTCAACTGTCACTTTTCGATGTTTCGCGCACCCCGCAGCCACCGCACAGGAGGCTATGGGCCTCGCAGCGGCGGTTTTCCCCGGGATACGAACCTGGAGCCGCAAACTCCTGTGATAGGCGCCGAG